CCTTGTTACAATTCATAACTTCTCAAAGGTAGGCAGTGAATTTACTCATGGAGCAAAAGGGCAACATGCGGATGCTGAGAAAAACACAACTCCTAAGTGTCAAACTGCTCACACAAACTATAGAGCTCAGGACTGGAAGCTTAGAGTACGACCTTGGAAAAAAGCAAAGGTAGGGTTGGCACAGCTATTTGCCAAATGATTTCTCCTGTACCTTAGTAGTTCAAGCTTGCTGTTATCGCTGCTGACTAGCAGGTGTTTAGTACGCATTTCAAGCCCTTAACAATTTATGTTTGCAATGTCTATTCCTAAATGTTATGAGTTTGAGGAAAACCTCCATCTCGAATAACACAAAATGTTTGTTTCTGGGACTCAGTTATCATTCTGGCTAGGGTTGGGGATCTGAGCAGTCAAATAAAGTTTGGTCAACTGACTGGTCAAATAGTGGTCGACAATTGTAAAAACTTGCCAATACAGTCAAATAATACGCAGGAAAAGCACAATTTTTTCCATTAAGAAATGTGTCAGAAATCAATTTAAAAAAAAATCATATTTCTGTCAAAAAAATTCCAAACAAAAATATTCACTCCCATGAAATTCCCATAATCTTTGGCTGGTCAAGAAAATATGCAGTCAATTGACTGGTTTGCCAATCCTAATTCTGACTGTGTTAGTGTCAGCTATTTCTCTTAGTAACTACAAAACTGTTCCTGAGTCTTCACACCATAAGGAATCTATACCTACCTTTCAAGAAATAAATGCAATATGTTTACAATAGCTCTACATTTCAGAGATTACTGTTAATTGTTCATTACTGGTCTCAATCACCTCTCACTTTTAAGTAAAAGAATGCCTATTATATGCAGACATTCAGTATAATACTGTATGTATTCAGTATGGTACCATGAAAGTCCTAGGTTTAAGTACAACCAGAAGTATTTAGTTGACCAACTGTTAAACAGCTGAGAGAAGGAAGGAACCAGATCAACATTTGCTAGGTTGTATCTTTGACAGAACAGATCAGACACTGGCTTCAGAGACCATCTTCTTTTCTTCCAGAAAGTGCAGGAGAGCACTGACTATATCAACAAAACCAAAGAAATCAGGGTATGTCTGTGGTAAAAGGGAACATCCATTCTAGCTACGTGCACACCGTCCCCCCTAAAAGCAGGAGCAATAGATTCACATTAGCACAGTACTGCACAGGAGAGCCAGCTCCATTTCTCAGCACAATGCTACCTTGCACAAAACAGATGTACCCTGGGCACATGAGAGCACCCCAGAATGAAAGGATGGATGGATGGATGTACATGGACACCAACAAGCAATTATTAGCTGGGCTAGTTTCAGGCAAGGAAAGAAATCTAGTTCTGACAACTGAGTGGTGCCACCATCTTTATTTATTAAAGAAATAAAGTGCTGGATTTCTGTAAGAGCGGGCTTGGCTAACAAAACCTTGCAGCATTTTAACTGATGGGAGGAAATGGCTGCCAGACCTGATCTCAGAGAAGACTATTGGAGGACACTGTACAGTTTGAGGAGGTTTCCACTGGCTAGAAAACAGGAGGAGAATTGATTTTTGTCATGACCCAAAAGGCATGATTGTGTGTGTGTGCTTCGGCATCAGAATTATCCACGTTAAGTTGCAGAGCATTGCACGGGAGTTTCCTGTAGCAAGAGGAGACTCCGGTGCAGGGACCAGTTTCCTGCCTTTTCTGCAGCTTCTTTTGCAGATTGCATTGCTCATGTTGCAAGAGGGATGCACGGTGCAAAAGAGTTCCCGCCACCGGTATGCAAATTTGTTCCCCGTGATTGGCTAGTGCTAAATTATTCATACGTGGCGGCTAGCGATTGGCCTGTTTGCCGGATAAAAAGCTTGGGCAGTTTCCGCCCAAGCCGAAGAGGACTCCACATCCATCTCGTGGGGACTCTGGGTACACGGCAAGGTAATAGAAACCCTGTGTGAGATCCAGAGGAGCGTGGCGGCCTGATCCACCGCCCACCTCTTCCCGTCTTCGAGCGCGACTAATATAAGACGTATTTACGATTTCTACATTGGTGGCCTGTTCACCCAGAGCATCCGGAGCTCTGCACCGTGGAGCCTAGCAGCCTCCACGAGACCGTCTGTGTTGTGTCTGTCTGTAACTGCAACTTAAGCAAGCTTTCCAGCCTACACCACTGCCATCTCGGTGTAAGTAAACAATCTTTTAAACTACCGATACGCGTCCGTGCCTAATTCCAGAGCGAAGGCCTTCCCTCTCCGCCCCCGCGTGCCCGGGCTGCTGGCCACAGCCCGCGTGCAGCGCGAAAAAGGGCTCGGGGTGCTCCCGGCCCGCACAATTTTAAAGATCTCTACTCATATGACAGTTCATGGTCTGGGTCCAGGTTTCAGTGTCCTTATTTGTAACATTTCTGGTTGGGTTTAATTTTGTTTCTTTGGAAAACTGCTGAGCCAAATACTTCATGACAAAATTTGCCTGAATGTGTAGTCTGAGGCTTATACAATATCCAAAGTATGAGAACTACCTGAAGTAGAGAGCAAGATTTATTTTAAATCTGAGTCGAACATTTACTTTACAAATTAATTTTTATTATCTATTTAGTTTTAGAGATAACAGCTTATCTTTGGTACATTATATGAAGCAATGTGAAATTACGTGGTGTTTAACCTGGATTCTCTTTTTCACTGGTGTATGACAGAAACCTCTTGTATCATGCTGTTTAAAAATAGCATGCTGGAGCTTCTCTGCAAATTAATGGCTATTAAAAATTAATGACAGCTTAGCTCTTTTGATCCCAGTATTCCATTTACAAAAAAGAGGCCTAAAAATCTACACTGCGGCAACGGGAACTGGAGGGCTTTGAAGACAGGCTAGATACAAGGGTTTTCATACTTTATTTCACAGTTTAAATCAAACTGACAGACCAGCATTAACATCTGACAACTCTTTTGCAGCCTAGACGAAGTGAGTGGTGGTCTCTAATCAAGCGGATGTGCCTGTATCATGAAAAAACACCACTACCGTTAATATTAATATTGAAAGCTCAACGGGTAAGCTGAGATTCGAGCAATCATGTAAAACAAACCAACTTTTCATCTCTGTTCTCATCAGCCCTTACAAAAACATTAGGTTGAGCTACACTGGTTGAAATGCTTGCATAAAGAAGGATGTAATTTGCTATAGAGAGAAAGTAAAATTGCTATAGAGAGAGAATAAAGTTCCTACCACTGTCAATTTGGCACAATTTTTTAAAAATTATAATGGAACCTCCCCCCGCCCCAAAAGCGCCATATGGTCTTTCAGTTGAGTATTGGTCTTTGAACGTAGAAACACACATCATCTATAAGACAAGATGAGCACCCACTTCTTGAATCAGAACTGAGCCTCATGTTACAGCTGTACTTAAGTCACCAGAGCAAAACCAGTCCCAAACACAGAACTTGTCAACGTTATACATCTGTGACCTTGAAATATTCTAGTCCTCTTCCTACTCAAAATATACACACACTCCCTTTTTGCTTCAGTGACCAAAGAATTGGGGGAACGGGGCTGACTCTTTCAAGATTGTTTTTTTCCACTGCTAATACTGAAAACATGTCTTGTGCCAGTTACTTAACAACTAACTTGACATTTTGACAACTGTGAACAAAGAAAACGTTCATGTACGCTTTCTACTTTGGTAGGGGCCAATCTTTTTAGCAGGTGCTACAAATTAGCCCCACACTCTCCAAGTGTCATTCGATCCCTGTCCCCCTACCTGGCCCGCTGTTCTGCTGCCCACCTGTCTGGCTAACCACATGCCCCACACAAAGGCCCCTGGTGCCCCTCCCGCTGCAGGCTGGCCACCCCCCCCACTATTTCATCCATCAGCCATATTTTTTTTAATTTTAATTTCATGTTTCACATCAAATTAGCCAAACCCATTCTGAAACCTATCAGAGATTTCTAGGGTTGGAAGGGACCTATTACGTCATCGAGTCCAACCCCGTGCTCTGGGGTAACTCAAGTAACCGCAGCCAGGTGCTTGTCTAATCTCCTTTTGACCACCTCCAAGGTAGGGGAAAACACCACCTCCCTCGGAAGCCCATTCCAGATTTTGGCAACCCTCACCGTAAAGAATTTCTTCCTGATGTCCACTCTAAATCTACTCTGCTTCGGTTTATGGCGTTTTTTTCTTGTAAACCCAAGGGGCGCCCTGGTAAACAGAGCATCCCCTATTCCCTGCTGATCCCCCTGATGAGTTTGTAGACAGCCATGAGATCACCTCTCAGCCTTCTCTTGCGGAGGCCGAAAAGATTCAGGTCCCTCAACTGGTCTTCATAGGATCTGACCTGCAGGCTCCTAACCACATGAGCAGCCCTCCTCTGAACCCTTTCCAGGTTATCCACATCTTTCTTGAACTGCAGCACCCAAAACTGGATGCAGTACTCCAGCTGCGGCCTCATCAATGCCCCACAGAGGGGCATCAATTGAGCAGAACTCAATCGTTCAGATTCATGTGCAAGTATCCTCCCTCCCAGCCGCAGGCTTCAGATACTGCCAAAGCCACGGCAGGCGTCCCAAAGTCTTGGGGTTCGCACATGCTGAGTGTTGCTTGCCCTTAGCAAAGGACCAAGCTAGGGAGGACCCCCCCCAAAGAAACAAGGATTGCTCCCCAAAGCTAGGGGGATCCCCCCCAAAGGAGCAAGGACCGCTCCCCAAAGCTAGGGGACTCCCCCCCCCCCCATCCGCATAACAGAGGGGCGATCCCCCACCTCCGTACAACGGGCACCGTTTCAAAGAACGCTTCCAAGCAGAGTCCCCTTCCCTACGTCGCACAGGGCCCTGCCGTCGCCAAGCCCGGGGGGCCGCTAGCCTGGCACGAGCCCCACAGACGCAGACGCTCCCACACGCGGGGTCTCCCCCAGCCCTGCCCCGCGGGCCCCGAAGCGGAGAGGCAGGAAGGCGTCGCGCTGCGGCCGAGCCGGCTGAGGGCCCCCCTCCCCGCTGGGCCGCACTCACGCTCTCCCACCAGCAGGATCCTCACGTCCTTCTTCATGTCCCCGCTGCTGGGCCCGGCGCGGGACCCGCTCACGTGGGGGCCGGGAGGGGGGGCGGGGGTCGCGACCTCTCCCCCCGCCCCTCAGCCAGCAGAAGCAACGACGGCGGCGCGGAAGGGACACGTTAAGACGGGCGACGCGAGCGCCAACGTGCCCTCTAGCGGCCAGGAGGAGCGGCGGCGGCTCTGGCGCGGGTGTTGGGGACTGCCAGAGCCAGAGGCGGGCTGGGATTCCTGGGCTTGGTGCAGAGGAGCCTTCAGGTCTAAAGAGGGAAACTAAGGGATAAACTGAGGCCGCTGTCGCATGTTACATGCATTGCACGATTGACAGCTGAGCTGCGCAATAAACGTAGCCCAGCCACACGCGCAAAGTCACGACCGCATGACAAAAATGACCCTCCCGCTATAAAAGAGGCTAGGAAGTTAGTACTTGGAAACGTGCAACGAGTTTCCAACCAGCTTTAATTGAACATGGGGCAGTGACAGCACAGTGCGATGAGAGAACCGCCGCGCTCACTTCCACGCGTCCAGAGAAGACGCAGAAAAGACGAGCCTACTGCTAAGCCGGCAGCTGCAACGGTGCTGGCAGAGAGATTCCTGGACCGTGACGTGCTTGGAAAAGAACAGCCATGCGGCCCTTCGTTCTTCCCGCCCGCTGAAGAACCCAGGCACATACAACAAATACCCTCGCTACCTGGACAGAAAAATCAGCTCTGAAATTCAGGCAGATATGTATTGAAGTACCAAAGTGTAAACGTTATGGCGAAACCTTGCATTTAACTATACAAAGAGCAGCAAAGAGAGAGGGAAGACGGTAAAAGAAACACTGATTTGATTTACTAATAGTTTTTATTAAAGTAATTGCCCATAAGTATTCCAAATAGTATTTGCAATGTATTTGTGTATATTAAATGTGTGTCTGGTATTCTTTCTGGAAGCTGACTGGGAACTGTTTGTTAATGCTGCACTCAGGATTTACATAGAACATACCTGAAGCTTGACTGTGCAATGCTCTTGGGAAAATAATTACAAAAAACGAACATGGCTGTCTTTTAGCATGGATCTAAGCATGAGACTCAGCATAAAGGTGAGCGTAGTAGAGGAAAGATCTCAGTCCTCTTCTCTCCATTACACTTAAGTAGTAAATTTCAGCATGGGAGTAAGTATCTGGAAGATCAAGGCCTAATATGACATTATACAAATTCCAGTTAGGAGAGTTACTTCCAAATAATGTACACCGCATACATTAATTAAAATATTTCAAAATGTACATGGACCACTTTAAAAACTGCAACAGTACCAGTAGCACCTTTTCAGCTCAACAGCTTCACTTACTTCATGGATTTATAATTGTGCTTAAAGAGAACCTTGTGAGAGGCAGCATCTTTCCTGCACAGAGGTCCTAGAATTGGCAAGTAAAAAGCATCCATCACATACATCATGACATAAATCATCACATAGATTGTACTTTTGAAAGAGCCACCCGGATACCACATGAAAAATTGTTGCAGTACAGAAGGAAAACCCCCATGAATCTCATACCACTGGCTATGACATATCACCCCTCCCTGGAACCTATACAGAAAATCCTCAGACAATTGCAACCCATACTAGAAGAAGACCAAATTCTTAAAGAGATCTCCTCCCAGAACCACCCATCCTAGCCTTCAAACAAGGACCAAACCTTGCCAACCTCATCACCAGAAGCAAACTTCCTATGGCCCAAACCATACCAAATGGATCCAGACCCTGCTGGGACAACCCTGCTGCACCAAATGCCCTGATGGAAAATACGTAGGAGAGACCAAATAACAAGTGCTCACCAGAAATCTATCAAAGACACAAATACCTAAATACCGGTGGGGGGACATTTCTCACAAGAAAACCATTCTCTCTCCAATCTCTCAGTTCTAAACCTCAATGGGAACTTACAAAACACCTTTCAAAGATGAGCCTATGAACTTCACTTCAACCTACTGGATACAAAAAATCATGGACTAAATCTAGACATTGGATTTACGACACATTATAACCTGCCTAACATCCGACTCCCCAAGTACCTTTCCATATTTACCAGCTACATTCATTCCTGCCTCTCCTCCCCCCCCCCAATCCACTGACTCCTCAATATACATCGTCACTGACTGGCTTTCCTGCATGCATACCAGCCTCTGGCTTCTTTACTATTCATTCCATCCAGTTAGAGCACAGTCAGCTGCAGATGCTTCCTCAGCCTGATGAAGGGTATTTACACCCAAAAGCTTGCAAAGAAAAATTTTTCCAGCTATTTGAGTTGGTCTAATAAAAGATATCAGATTTACCCAAAGAACCTTATCTGTCCATCAGTCAGTCTCGAACATGCCTGTCTCGTACCTGATTTCAGACCATGATTAAACTACCTTTCTCAAGCTTTTTTGCATGTAGGAAGGGAATGTGTGATAGCACATTACTCCCAATACCAGTTTGCCCTGCTGAGATTAAGGGTTTCGTCTCCTGCTGAGCTTTTCCTGTTCAAATGCATCCTTCTGGAAGAAATCCTCTTGAAAGGATGAGGTGGTGCCATACCTGTATTGACACTCTGTTCTTTGGCATAGTGAGATACAGTCTGTGGGTTGAGGTTAAGCCTATTTCTGCCCTTTGTGAAATAAGTCTCTGGCTACATGCAGATGGAGGAAGAGAAATGGTCAGCATGGGCTGCTTCTTGTCCTAATTGTTTGACAGGGTCACTTTAGCAAAACCAGAGCAGGTCAGGTCCAGTCTGGAACAAGGAAGGCAAACACAGAGACAAGCAGAAGAAAACATCCCTTGTTAATGTCCAGCATTAAAGCAACTCTATACATTACAGCCCAATTCTTCCCTTTTCATGGGTATTGTAGCCTACTCTTTCTTTATATGATTTATACTTAAAGACCCGTTTTCATCCAAGCCATACATCCAGAAGGCAGGGTACACAGGCTCCAAGATATTGATTTCAAATGTATGTAAGTGTGTTTCTTCTTTGGCAAGGGAATAAAATGACAGGTTCTTGTCTGGTAGATTGAGAAAAACACCAACCCTCATGGGTCTCCCTTCCTTTAATGGGGTTTTCTGGTTCCTATGCCATGCTGACAATTGTCCATTAGTCCATTCCACACACCAGGAAAGTTCAGTTCTTCCCAGTCTCTCCCCACTACCAATCTTTCTGTCAGCGATTCCGACGGCCCATCCAGCGCTGTCCTTGGTAATTACTTCCCAGTAATGGAATCCAGAAGAGAAACTTTGGGAACACATGACCTGGCTGATGCGGAACCTATTGGGAGAGTCTTTGTAACGTGGGGGATAGAGAGATACAATCACTTTCCTGTTTTCAGCCTTGACCTCTAGCTGGTGATGAATTCTTTCAAGATCAAAGGTCACATTTTCTGCCCCTAAAATAGATAAAGGAAATATTCTGATCCAAAGGCAATGGGGAGACTTGTCAATTCAACATTTATGAAACCTGGTAAACAGAAATGCCTCGTGTACACAGCTGGAGTTGTGCCCCATTAGGTAATCAAAATGAAAGTTGGCCACCAAACAAGAACCCTTCACCCAAATTGCATCCCAGAGCCCAATTTTGCAAATTGCTAAGGATCTTCAGCTGAACGGTAGGAGCCAGATCCTGAGCCTGGTGCTGACTTGGGCAAACTCCTATTGACTGTGACCACTGAGACTGAGCAAACCTTTGGTACTGACCCTCAAGACTGAGCTTGTGAATTCCAATGGAAACTAAGTATAGTAGTGCTAGAGTGATTAGTAGTTGTGATGGTCCAGGAATTAAGGCAAAAATGTCTTGGGGTGATATCTTTTATTGGAACAACTGCATAGGTGGGATAGGGTTAGATAAGCTTTCAAATGCAAAACACTTTTTATCGGGCCTGAGAAGTGACAGCCAACACAGCACGGTAAAAAAAAACAACCAACCCAGCTATGAGAGAGGAAACTGAGGTCACTTAATACCACACAGGGTGGACCCTGTTCCCAATGGCAATCTTACAACCAAATTGTGTGTAACAGAATAAAAAGTAAGAGGGTTACCATGCCCAACAGAGGCTATAAAACTACTGCTTCATTGGAATCATATAAGAATAAGTCTGGAAAGGATCTTGTGATGTGAATCAGTTCAAAATCTGGCTTGAGACAAGATCTCTCCCATATAAAACATCCCACACAAATGTCTGTTGAACCCGCTCTATAAAACTTGTGATTGCTGAAATGATACTACCTTTCTAGGTAATTGGTTCCTGTACTTAACCACCCTCTGAGCTGGAAAGTTTTTCCTACTATATTACTTAAATTTCCATTGTAATTTCAGCCCATTACATCTTGTCCTGTGCCCTATGGACATGGAGAACAATTGATTGCCATCATTTTGATAACAACCCTTTTTATACTTAAAGACTGTTATCAACTTCCTACTCAGTCTTCTTTCCTACAGACTAAATAAGCCCTTCTCTCCAGCCTTGCCTCATGTGTCATGTTTCTGAGAACTCACTCATTTTTTGTTGGTCTTCTCTGGGCTTTTTTTAATTTGTCAACTTTTTTCCTAAAGTGCATTGCCCAAAACTGGATATCATACCCCAGGCAAGGCCTCACCAGTGCCTTGCACGTTAATACCTCCCAGAATGTTACTAAGCTTTTTTGGCAACAATATTATACTATTGACTCCTGCTAAGCTCAAGTCCTCCATAAACTCCCTGATCCTTTTTCTGCAGTACTGCAGCCTAGCTAGGCGCTCCTACTTCTGGATTTGTGCAGTCAGTTGTTCCATCCCTTTGCATTTGTCCCGAGTTAATTTCATCCACTTTATCTCATACCTTTTTTCCCTCCATTTATCAAGATCACATCCTCCAACACATCTACAGGGCCACCCAGCTTGGTGTCATCTGCCAATGAGTGTATACTCAGTCCTAACTCACAAATTAAGGTACTGAACAGAACCAGACCCATGTTACTGACCGGTTCTTAGACAAATAATTTTGCGCAGTGGTTAAGCTACAAACTAAATGGCTGCTACAGTGCTGTAAAATGTTCTCATCCTTTAAATTAGGTAGTTATAAGCAAACATCCAGATCCTCAACTGTGTTATACATGCACATCTCCACCAGTGAAGCTGCACTGATTCACAGCAGCTGAGGATCTTGCTCAAAATGTTCTAGAAAGCTGTTGGTGAATGGGCCAAAGCCTTTCATTTGGAACATCCTCTTTATTGAATTGTCATATTGGCTCACATACTTACACGGAGCAAACTGACTTGAAATAACTGGGTCTGGACTACTGTCTGCAGGCTCCGGACATGAAGAGGCAACACTGATCTCAGCAAGTAAATCTCCAGGTTGTACTAAACATGAAGGGAAAAAATATATATATTAGGGAACTTCTTCAAATAGCAGATCCTTAAAACTAAACACAAGGCAAAGGCAATTGCCAACAGTTACAGAGTCTGTCAAATATATATAGGTGTACTATATATGTATATATCTCTGTTTGACAGATACTCAGGCCTGTTTCTAAAGAACATGTATGCAGCTAAGCATGTGAGGAAATGTAGTTAAGTATATATAATTTACACTTAAGTTATTCAGGCATTAGGCACGCAACAGTGGTCACTACACTTAGAAATGACCAGTTAGATGCATAAAGGACCAATTGGGCATCTGAGCATGGAAGCAATAAGGGCTATTATGTATACAAATTAACCATGCTGCTCTACACAGGTTCTTACACTGTGCTCAGCACTCTGGTGTCCACGTGACATAGTTTCAATGTGTATTTCATAAACACTAAATAATCCTTTGCTTTAGTTACCCAAGTACAGAGTCTCCTAATATGCAGCTCTTAAATCTCATAGGGCTCTCTCTCAGATTTGCAGAAATACTGTGATGCATATTTGATAGACTGTCACTTGGCACTTTCGCCATACAGCTGAATCATTCTTAGCAGTAATCTGTATGGGGCTGGAGAAAGCTTTTTTGGCAACAATGTCTTGGGAACAACTTTACTTTTATATTAACCCTTTATAGTCTTGTTGCATAAACTAATATGCTCATACTTAAGCATCTGCATGTATTTTTACAAGAGTGGTATTTAAATTATCAGAGTGCAAGAATCATATTGGAAAGGAAAGGAACAAAAAAACCCCAAACAACCAGAAAGAGGCAGCAGACTGCAGGTATTCTTTATGGAGGATGTGCTCTGAGCCTCACTCAGATTTAATCCTTTGGTGTCACGACTACTGAAAATTTGTTTCCAACAGATCAGTGGTCTTTTTGTTTTATGCCAAGTATTTTTTTGTAATTGAATCTTCAACTCTGAGTGTAAATTTCCCCCATTGCAGCAGGATCTTAACAAACAAGGGACAGAAAAAAAGGGTTGACTTCAATGGGAGATAACAGTGTTCAGTACCTTTGGGAGCTGCTTGGTACTTTGCTGAATCAAACTCTGTAACGAGACAAGAGAAAATAAAAGAAAGATATAAGAACACAGCATAAGAATATAAGAAATGCCATTTATAAGGGTCCATCCAGCCCAGTGTCCTGTCTCAGTGGCATAGAGTAGAGGCTGAAGTGGAGGGTGCACAAACAATGTCCAGAATCTCCCACCCCTGGTCCCTCTCCTATTGCAGCTTCCAGCACTCAGGGGTTTAGGAAGTCCCGATCCAGAGACTGTACTCCCATCTACCATGTTTAGGGCCTATTGCCAGAACTTTCCTCCAAGAATTGGCCCAGTCCCCTTCTGAACTGGGTAAAACTACCAACCTCCACAACACCTTGTTAGAATGAGTACCACGAGTTAATTAAATCGTATATGAAAAACAACTTCCTTTGATCATTTTAAACCTACTACCCAATAGTTTAATTTTCTGCCCCCTAGTTCTAGTATTTTGAGAGACCATAAAGAATAAATCCCTTCTTACATTCTCTGCACTGTTTACTATTTTGTAAATCTATATCATATCCCTACTCAGGCATCAAACTGCTAGCCTATTTAGTCCATCTTCACATGAAAACCATCCATGCCCCAGTCATTTATGTTAACCCTCTTTGTACCTTTTCTAATTCTTCCATATTCTTTCTGAAGTACGAAGACCAAAACTGTGCCCAATATTCAAAGTGTGATGCACCATAGAGTTATAAAGGGACACAATGATATTTTGTTTTATTTACAATTCCCTTAATAGTTCCTAATATTTTATTTGCTTTTTGGGTGGTTGCTAAGCACTGAGCTGCTATTGTTTTTAGCAAACTGTCCACAATGATGGGACATAACATTGAGCCCCATCACCATATATGTATATTTTGGATAATTCTTTCCCATTTGCATCACTTTGCAGTCATCAGCACTGAATTTAATTTGCCATCTTGTTGTCCATTCACTCAATTTTGAAATATCTTTCTGTAGGTCTTCAAAGTCCACTGTGGTCTTTACCACTCTGAATGATTGTGTCACTTTGCACCCCTCTCCCCCTTCTCAGGTCTTTTATGAATATATTAATATATTAAACAGCACCAGTCCCAACAAGACCCCAACTAGATCCTTGCAAGACTCCACTGTTTATTTCTTTCCATTCTGAAAGATGACCATTTATACCCACTCCTTGCTTTCTGACCTGAGAAAACATGACTAAAGCAAGCTCACCTGATGGTAGTTGCCTCGGATCTCTCTCCAATATTGATTCCAATTGTTTCCTGAACTGTTCTACAGCACTTGTGACAGCAACAATCTTATCATCATTGAGTGTTACACGAGGGCCTGCGCATACTTCTCCTTCAACCTAACAGTAACAGAAGAGAAGAAGGAATGCATGGGGCTAAATGAATATAACCAAATCATCAAAAATTTCTGGTGATTTCATAAGGTCAGGATGGCAAACTACTAGTGAGCTCCCCATAAATCTTATGCTTCACAGAAGGGATAAGGGTTCCTGAAACTTCTGCAAATACTCTAAAGATATTTATTTGAACTTATAATACCTTTTTGTCCCTAGTGGAAGTCACAAAGGGATTTGTTTGATATATATAGTCAGAGAAAACGTGTTTAACTAAACAGCTACTCAACACATGATTTCTCTCCAGTTTAAGTAACAGGATTGTTTCCACACACTCCCCAATATGCTCTGCAAGAGGAGTGGCAAAGTGCTTTTGTCATGGGGCTCTCTCAAGAGATCTGGATTCTTTCTGCAAGATAGGACTCCTGCTCTTCTCCATATATACATGCCCTCCCTCTGGAAAGCAAATATGTTATTGGATCTCATCTGAACGTTAGATTTGACTGATCTAGATTAAAAAGATATGAGAGAAACAAGTTTGTCTTCCTACTGTACTCCACCCACTCATTGGCTGTGTCTGCATTAGCACTTTCTTCTTCCTAAATTTCCCACCACTGGTAGCAACAGTGCAGACCAGCTGCCAAATCTGGAAACACCACATGGTTCCATCCTACTCAGACTGCGACAATGCTGTCCTATTCATACCAATGCATTTATGCCACCCTTGTGCAACAAGAGTGCAGCTCTGGGAAACCTGAAGGAAACGTGAGAGCGCGATGCACCACAAAGGATTTGGCCCCATTTCTACATACATTCAGCTGCTTCAGCAGGCTGTTGTGTGCCCCTCTTTCCATCTGGGTTTTGATTTCTGCGAGCTTGTTCAGTTTGCTGGTGAGCTGGCCAATTATTTCTTCTGTTTTTTGCTGGGCTGTTTGCTGCTCTTGTGCGATGATCCTCAGTATCTCTCCCTCTTCCTGGGCAAGACGCTCTTTCATGGCACCAAAGTCTTCAGTAATCACGCCTTTGATCTGAGAGAGATTTTCCTGAAGGGAGCAGATCAGGACAGTGAGGACAAAGGGGAAGTTTGGAACTTGGATATCTAAGGCCTTGTTTTACCCACTCTGGCAACTGACCACTTAATTTCAGCACAACTATTTTTATAAAAGTGAAGAAGATACTAGTTAATGAAGATTCATAATTGGCACAAATCTTGTATTGCCTGCAGTGGGAATTTGGGACAAGGAGCATAGGATTTGGCCTATTTGAAAGCCAGTGGTTCTTAGTTGCTATCAGAACATGTTCTGGCTCTCAGATGTGCAGAAACATATGCTACTCCCTGGGCAAGGTGGAAGAGACGATGACATGAATGGCTTTGTGGTACCCATATGGACCACTGGAGGAACATAGCTATCCCAGTCAGTGCTGTGTGAGAAGGAGTGAAAAGGAAAAATATATCTGCTGCATTCTAAATAAAGCAGGCTGTGTGTCTACCTCCAAATATCAGGCTGACAAACATCCATACGTACATTTATTTCATCCATGTCTTTCTCCCGGCTGCGGATGGCATCTTTGACCATTTCAATATGCCTGGAGATCTCACTTATTTCCTCTGTCTCCTGTAAAGGGAAACATATCAGTGCACGTTTACACAACCATTATAAAGAATATCATAGGATAAGGTAACAAGGTGGTAAAAACACCAGGGTCTTTTGTACCTTCCACTACCCGGACTCTGCTCCAGCCAGTTAAGGATGCAATTAACTTTCAGAAGATGAATAATCCACAGGAAGTCAACAGGAAGCTCTTGGGCTTAGTGTTATGTGGGGGTGTAAGTGCTTTGCTGCAGATATCAAAGACAAAAAAGGGGGAAAGGAAATTAAAGACAGTGAAAAGGGAGATAGGAAACAAGAGTGGAATGGCAGAGTTGAAAGAAGAGAAACAGGAAACAGACGAGCAAGGAAGAGAAAAGAAAAGTATTTGTTAAACAGGAAAGAAGAGGAAATGAGAAGGAAAATGGCAAGCAATGAATTGAGAAAGCAGAGCAAGGATGAGGGCAGGAGAGGGCAGGGAAGAGGAGAGAGGCTGGGGTAAAGCAGCACATGAAGGCCACAGGACCGGGAGCCTTACCCACCTGGATGCCCCATGCAGCTGCAGGCAGTGGCTGTGGCCCTAGGTGGAGAGGCCAACACAGTTGGGGTGTCCAGCAGGCCTGGGCACAGAGAGCAACTCTGGCTGGCCTCCCCGCTTCCAACCACCCCCAGGACCCTTGTGCTAGACCCTGCAAACAGCCTTCACAGACTTCAGGAGTTAGAGCACCACTCTCCCAGGATGGGGTGAATTCCAGCACAGGCTACAAACTCCCCCAGTTCCACCCAAGTAGTAAACACCCCCTTCACTCCCTTAGGGATTATTTCCAGCACTGAGGGGCTGCAAGAAGAAGCTGGGGGAGACAGGCTGGGCTCGCTTCTCACCAGGTTCTGTGTTACTGTCAGTAGCAAAAGTGTCTGTTCATGATGTCACTCCCTAACGTTATGGCCAGGTCAAAGGGGCAAAGCAAGTGAATAAACACAGGGTGGGGAGGAGGAAGCAACTCATGGCAGCCAACTCCAAAAGCAGACCTCTGGGGTCCAGGATAGAAGGACCCAAAGCCTTTCCAGCTGCCTAGAGTTTGATGTCAGGGGCTCTGTGAGGAACTGCCCCCAATACTCAGCTCCCTCCCTTCCAAGGGCAGCTCTCAGCCCCATGTCACAGGCTGTGCTGTCAGACTTGCCTAACTGTAAAGAAATTAAACGCAAATAAATCAGATATCAAAACCTTGTTCAGGCTGAAAACTGAAACACTGAAAAGGCAGGAAATGCAGGTGTGAAGTCTCTCATGGCAGCTGATTCCCACTGCTTGCAGACATGCAACATTTCTGGTTGCATAGCAGCTGGGCCCTAGCTGATCTAGTCAGCTCTCATTTACTGTCTCATTGGTTTAATGAAGGTTGGCTTGGTCCCTGTGCCTGCCCATCACTATGGTATCTAGATGCTAATCATGGAATTATTATTAGCTAGGCTGCAATACTTTACATCTAAATTACATCTGTACAGCTTCCGCCTTCTCCTTCTGTGCTCCTTCAAGTTCAATCAACATCAAAAGAAATACCACTTTAAGGAAAAGTGATCTGGCTTCCTATTCCCCCTCGATGTACCCAACAATATTGCAGCACTAATGCAACATCCAGCAAATAGAAATATAATCTGAGAACAATGTTAACTTGCTCAAACTGAGATGGGCTCTCTTCTCATATCCCCAGAAAAGTACTTTTTGAGATATGGCCCAGACCTGTAATACGCTGAACACATTGAAGTCCCTCATTTCCTGATTTCATGTCCCAACACCTCCTGCCTATATAACAGCTATATATTATTATTTAAGTAATTAATCTAGATATGCAGTGCAGAGTATGCGTCCTGTGTTCCCAGGCTTTCCCGTCTGGAGGAAGCCCAGCCTGAATATCCTGCTCCCAAGATGCACTGGTTTCTTGCTCATCACAGCCAGAGTTTCAATACATTTTACTGGTTCTTTCAACTCACCCTTCCCATCTTCCGGATTATTTCCACCATATTGGCCAGCTGTCTGATTGCCATCAAGTCTTTCCGCTGAAAGATCTGCATGCAGTGTGGGCACTTGACATCTGTCCCCACCTCCTTGTAGTGCTTGCCAATACAGTCTCGGCAAAAGCTGTGGGAACATTTTATAATGATCACTGGATCTTGAAAGTAGTCCAGGCAAAGAGAACAGGTCACTTCTTCCTGGAGGTTTTTGACCAGATTAGCAGCCATGACCCCTGCCACAGCGAAACAAGATGAACTTTCAGTTTCCGTTCCCCTGCTGAAAGACTGTCTACCAATAAACATAGAGAGGGCGGACCTCTCCAATTCTCTCTCCAATCAAAGTCAGCTAAATAACCACTTCCCAAATTGAAACTCTGCCTTGGTGGGCATCTGCTTCCCTATCATTTAAACCACTGTATCTCTCACAATAGTCAGTATTTGTCCTTACAGGTGGGCTGGAATTAGAAAGTTCAGATCAGCATCTGAACCAGCATCAGGTCTAGGATCTGGTTCAGGTTGAGAATATTGTACAGTTTCACGATTCCTGCATCCCCTCATGGTAGTACTCTGGGTGGTTGTCTCCGTGTCATGCTATAAGCCACCATTTGCTGGTCTCACACAGCCCAGGTTTGAATTTTCATTTCTTTCTGAATTTAATTGTCACATGCTTAAACACTCAGTCTCATTTTAAAGAGAAACCTTTACAACAGAAGCTGGACACAGAACCATATAGAGTTATGGTTTTCAACATTTTTAGACTCAAGGCACCCCTCAGAAAATGCCAGCTCCTAGCTTTCACTGTTTTTTTTTTTTATTACACTAAAAAAAAATAGAGCAATTCTAATATTGCAAAAAAGCAAAAAGACCACAGCAGGTCAGAATATTTTAGACACCATCAATTCCTATTTGAAATCTCTGGGTTTATTTTGTGAGTCATGTGCAGGTCTCTTCACAGATAACAATGCTAATATTGCGCAGAGCCCCATGGCATCCTTAAAAGGATTTCACAGCACCCTGGTGAGAATTACTGGTATAATATCTCAAGGCTTCTCAGCCTTTTGTAGATGAAGATCTACTTTTCCCGATGAAGTGCTCATTTCTTGTTCTCTGCTGCTCTCTTGTGGCTGTTTAACTTAATTTGGCATCAGCTTGATTCTGAAAAGAGCTGAACCCCTATGTCTTCTATGGAAGACAGGATCTGCCGCTCAGTCAACAGCATGGAGAGTTCTCTCTTTTCTTTGTTGTAGACAAAATTTTAAATAGTAACTCAGAGTTTCAGATATATTGAAAAGGACACAATATGTTAAAAGGAACAAGCAAAAACCCAAAAAATAACAACATTTAAAAAAAAATTTTTTAACAACATTTTAAAAAATGAAATCTTCATAATTTTACTAGGAGGAAGCACCTTTGACCACCTGAAACCAGAGGGCACCTGTACACACCGTGGGTTTTTTAATCCTCATTAAATTAAATAGATTTATAAAATTTAAACTTGTTTATTTTGGAGCACCACACCTGTGTTAACACACACTAAAGTTTTCAAACAAATTAAGCTGGGTCCCAGTTCAGCATTGCTTCCCCCAGCCTGGGGCCCCCACCCACCCTGTGCCTGTGCCCTGCAACACAGCTGTGGAAGCAGGGAGCTGGCAAACAAGAAAAAAAAGAAAAAGCCACACACGAAAAAAAAGTGGAAGCAATTCGAAAGTAAAAGCAATTTGAAGGGGTGAACTACAAAAAAAAAAAATGCAGTGCCATTTGGTGGACAAAGAGGCTCCTTTGCACGTCTTTAAGTGCCTTTGTGTTTGCACCCAACGAATCCATGGACACGAATGATGCTTTAATTCCCAGAGAGCCAAACTAAACTACAACTGAGGAGTTTTAGTTTAATGCACAAGAAAGACTTTTAAAGCATGGGGAAATCCTGCTCATGCAAACAGACACATAGTTGCAGCCCATGAAAGGGCAAAAATCATGGTGTGTACATAAGCCCAGAGATACCACTCCTGCCTTTGTTTGAGGTAATTTGCATCTTCACAGAACCTCACATCAACGCTCAGAGGCCTCACCAGATAAGAAATTCCTGCCCAGAGAAGCATCCCATCTACTGACTCCTCTGTTAAATATGAAACACCATAACCAGAAGGAAATATGAATACATCCTGCTTACCAACAAAACTGCGAGGTAAACAGGCTATTCCAACTTTTCTCTGAGCCTAATCTGCATATAAAATGAACTTTTCCAAACAGGAGATTTTACCACCTTCAACTCTCCTATGAAATATGAGCTTTAATTTCTACCCAGGAGAACTTTTACAGTCTTTTCTGCGATGCCTGATGAAGGGTGTTTGCACTCGAATGCTTGCAATTAAAGAAATTTCTTTTTGCAGAAAATCTAGTTGGTCTAATAAAAGATAACACCTCTACCATGAATCCTGATTGCAAAAAATAAAAACAAAAACTCAACCTGTGCTAATGAACACATGTCAGAGTGTGGTCCGTTGAAATGACAGAACAGGAACCTGCCTGTAACCAGGACCTGTCACAATGAAAGCCCAAACCTTCACTTGAACAGGAGAGATCTGAGCCACCAAGTTCAGTATTCCACTCAAACCTCCCCAGTTCTGGGGAACTCTGATCCAAGAACTTGGTTCAGACCTCTCTCTGCTTCAAATGTGGAAATGATCCCAGCCAGGCAAAGCTTTTCCAGACCCCACAAAACTGTAATAGAAACTCAACAAGTTTTGCTGTGTTTGCATTCATACATTTCTCAGAGAGAGTTATCCAGTTTGTAACAACTCCCCGGGGAGCTGGTGACACAGCAGATCTTCTGCACCCCAGCAGTTATCAGGGCTGATAGAGTCTGTAGAGATAAGCTTTTACTGGGCAAAATGTTGTCACCTGCGTTATGCATGATGCTCTACAGATTCTTTGCAGTCCTAGAGAACTGATGTAGTCTTTGATTTTGCAGTGCTCAGTTTGGATAAACTCGGATAAAATCTCAACGGTTAAAAATAAACATGTGAATCAACACCAAAACAAAACCAGCTACCACACACCATTCAAGTCAGCAGGAGCTTCGCTATCGATTTCAGCGGATGCAAGATGAGGTTGCTTTCTCCTTCCTTCCAATGATTTTTCAAAGGTTAGGAGAACTGACAACAGCATAATTCATCAGGCTCCTGGACAAGTAGCTCCAAAGGCCAGTTTATGAGGGGGACAAAGAGAAGAAAAGATGCAGACTGCTTGTGGCTGGGTGTGGATGAGCAAGCTGGGAGCAGTACAATGAGAATCTAAGCCAAATCTTTTTTTTTTCCAATGTAAAAAACGTTCAGTAGAAATAGTTCCCCTACCCCCACACGCGCAGCCACTTCCTCATTCCAGCTAGAAGAGAGGGAACTATTCTGAGCATTTCAGCCTTGTTGTCATAGATCAGGAAGCTTGGGCCGTCTCCCAACTGGCCTGATTTGCAGATGTAAGCAGTTCAGATAAGAAAAGCAACGAACATTAGGCTGCTTGGTTAAACCAAACCTCTGAACTTCTTGACATGTCCCAGCATGTCACAACCTAGTTGTGATAGGAGAGGAGGCAGTTCATTCAGCTGGTTCCCTGTATTCATTCAGCACTGCACAGAATAGGTGTAAAATCAGAACAGCAATGTTTCTGCTCCCATTAGCAGTCACACAGGGCTGTGGCACTGTGGGCTCCCAGCACTGGCATTGACCCACTGAGCAGGGCCATCCCTAGGGGGAGGTGAATCGGGGTAACCGCCCCGGGCCCCACACTTTGGGGAGCCCCCTGGAGCTGGGTGGAGATGCCGCGGCGACTCTGCACTGCTTCTGGCGGCTTCTCTCCCCCCCCGCAGGTGGCAGCGGCAGCCTCTTCAGGTCTGGGGCACATGGGATTGGAGCAGGGGTGGGGCCCTGCATGGGCTTGTCCCAGGCCCTGCACCCTGCTCAGGTTGGCTCTGCCACGGAGTGCCCTTGCACCCAGTATTTTGGCTAAAACGTCAAAAGTGGCATCTGACTCTGTGCCCACCTCAGACAGAATTGGTAAGAGAATCTAGAACCTGTTCTTCCAGCTGAACTTCCCAAAGTCAGGAGAGCTCAGCACTTCTGAATAACAAGCTCCAGATGTCTCACCTCAGGCCCCCCAGAATCGGTGGTTGCTTTGGAAACAAACTGGCGACTCCTCTGTATGTCAGATTCTCAAGCTGCAAAATGCAGATGATAACTGAGATTCTTGGAGAGTCTTAATGTGACATTATAACAGTCTGAGTAAGGTAAAACTATCTTTTATTTTTACAGAACTTGGGATTTATGTTATCAGAAATACAAACAGCAAAGGACCTGAGACTGGTTTGTAATAAAAGTTCATGTCCCGAGAGAAGGTGAGAAATCCAGTGAAGCCAAGGGGAGTTGCAGCTACTCAGCACCTCTTAATAAGTCCAGGTGTTCAGCTCATGCCTCATTTTCCTCCTGAAGTCAATGGTAAAAGCTGCACTGACTTCAATGAGAGCAAAGTTCAATGAGGCCAGTGCTATGCACTCCTGAAAATGGCACCCAGTGGATCCTGACCCCAGAATACACAACCCATCATCTCTTGGTTACTGGCTTCATGCAGTCCATGTCAGAAGTGGCTGAAAGGCTGTAATATAATGTAACAGCTGCTGATGCCCCACAGGAAGTAAGGTCAGTTGTCTCAGGCTGGTTCTTGGTGTGCAGGAGGTCATACCTACAATCACCATTGCTCTTGTGAGCTAAACAGTCTCAGTAGAGAGTCCAAGGAACGAATATGTCCTGAAACTGGAATCCTTCTTACATCTGAGAGAAGACAACAGCAAAACCAGCATCTTTCAGTTTATCGTAGTTTATCTTTCCTCTCAACTGATATGTCAAATGCAACTTGACTGGCTGTCAGCGCTGCCTGAGATTGGCTTCTGATGCAAAGTGAATGAGAGAAAGAAAATTAATGCTTCCCAGAGCTTTTTTATGAATTACTCCATGTGACATCAAGAAGTAAACTCTTGGCTACAAATCCAGCCGAACAGACCATCTAAATACACCCCCACTTGGCCTGCGATAGCCTCAGGCAGCAGAGCCAGGGCTGCACCTCAAAGCCCAAAGAAGGAAAGGCTATGGAAGAGGACATAGCCAAAGGACTCTCTGCCCCAGCTCACCTGACAGCTGAATTGGTCTGCTGAGGCTAAGGGTGCAAGTTAGAGCCAGCTCCAGAAATGGGGAGCCACAACCTCTATCCTACTTCTCTGCCCCAGGTCTCCTGTTAAGCAGAGCTGGGCGGGACAGAAAGCTGAACCCAGCACAGGGCAGGAATTGCACTTTGGACCTATAGTCTGGATTTGCTCTGCAAATTCAGAGTACTGTACATTACTTTAACCCTCTGAACCCTGACAAGTTGGACGTGTGCATCCCCCTTTCGCTCAGACCCTTCTTGCATTCATTCCCCCTGCTCTCAGCTGTGGCAACAAGCCTCATTCAAGATGAGGGCTCCATGGAATATTTCCTGTGCAGTTGGGAGAGTTACGGAGGGTATGCTGAGGACAACTGTAATTCCATCTCTGTAAATCTCTTGGCTGGTCATGACTTTAAGCTCACATACTTCCATTTTCATAAAGCAACAGGGGCCAATTCATCCCTGTATTGCCACAGGGGCTAGATCAGCAACAGGCAGAAGCTGCATATACTTCTGTCCAGGAGTGAAGGACGGGGCTGGTGTAGTCTCCAGTTTGAGCTATGGCTACCTTGAACTGAGCCCCTGCTGCAGTGACCCCCACAAGCTCTGCAAGGACACCAGTCTGCCTGGGTCATGCCCTCTCCTGTCAGCTCTGTATCTGCATCTTTAGAGGAAAGAAGCCTCTGTACCCACGGTGTTCACTGATATGACCTTTGTATCAGCTACCTGGAGAAAAGGTCACCATGTAACAGTGAACCAAGAAGGCCTGTTTGCTGGAACTCATCACTCACCTTAGGCAGTCATGGGCTGGGAAATTATTTCATTCAAAGCCTCCATCCACTCCTCCTGCTCCCTGTCATTCTCGCATGCAAATACAAACTCCCTTTTTGGCGTGACTATGGTGAGTCCAGCTTTCCACCTCCTTCCTTTGACTCCTCTGGGCAAGCTGGCCCGGACTTCGTACCCATGCTCTTTGCTTCCAATAATCACTCGGCCCGTTTCAAAGGCATCCTTAGAGGGAGAAAGCAGGATAGTCGCAGGTATCCACAGCTGCTCAAAGCTGACATCAGACTGTCATTTGATGGCAGCAGAAGTAGGTTTAATTTGGAGGGAACACTGTCATGGCTCCAGGTATGATGGGACTCAAAGGCATTCCCAACACAGAGGACTAGGAGAGCTGAGTTCTCTGGTCTTTGTCACTAACTTACTAACTTCTTGCCCAAGCACAAAGAATGAGGGCAAGGATCTGCCCTGTGACCTGAGGTGGCTGACTCCATACGCCCTAGTACCTGAGATACAAGTTCAGTCACTTAATACAAACTCCTTAAAAGAGCCAGAACAGTCAGCACCCTCCCCCCCCCAGGCCAGCTTTTCCAAACACCTCAGCTCCTGAGGCGCACAACTCTCCTGAAAATCTGCACAATTATTTTAGAGCTGTTGTGATCACATGCATGGTGGGATCAGTATGATACAAAGAGCCCCTTTCAAGCAGCTCTGGTCATGAAATAAGGAGTCCTCCTTACCAATGGGTCTTTAAAGTAGATCAGACTCCTCTCCTGTGAATCCAAGCTAAACCAGCGCTTCTTGAAGACCTCCTTGTGCTAGATAAAGAATAAGCTCTTTAATGATCCAGCTCCCAGGAGAAGGGCTCCACTCACTCGTGGCAGTTCCTTGGCCACCACCTCCTAACTCTATGCTCTGGTTCACTCTCAGCTTCTCATGCAGTTCCATGACTCACCAACACACCTAAAGCCTCAGCTCTCTTCCTTCTCAAGGTTAACAAGTGACACCATGAATTCTTTACCAATGTACAAACCTTCTGTTGGAAGCCAGAGCTGACACTAAACTATACAGCCCCACTAAGGGTTCAGCACTATTTCTCCCCGCTGTAAGCATTCAGTCAAGAAAATCTTGCCTTTTTGGCTGGTAAGAATTCACATGTGACCTGCTATAGTAAAGCTGCAGGATGAGGCACTGCAAAAAGATCTGAGAGAGATGAAGTTTAACAATGGCATATTCACTACCAGCATGAAGTATTTCACTGATGATCCTTTTAGCAGTACTGACACAGGCTGGAGGCTGGGTGTGTAGGCAGAGTCAGAGAATATGCAGAGAGACAACAAGAATGTGCACTGGGAGAGAGGAATCTGCCTGGAAGTTTCTGCTCTAGTGGGCATCTTGTGATGATGGAGTTGCAATCAACAGACAGGCACATGACAGCCACCCACATTCAATGCTAATACTAGGAACTTTGCAACTCCAGAAATACTGCCAATTATTCCATCACACCTGCAGTTTGCAATGAGCCCTCAAAGTTATATCTCATGCAAAAGTGGAAAAAAAAACCCCCAGTGCTCATTACAAACTGAGACTCAGTCTATCCAGGTTAACTGGAATGCACTTAACTACAGCTCCCAGCAAACTGTTTAATCATAATCATGACAACATTAGTAAACATTCTGCTTCTGGAAAAAAAGTTATGTTTGGCTAGTGCTAAGCTTTTAAATGGTGATCAGCCATGACATTCAGGTGGAATTTACCGTTGGTCCAGTTTTCTCCATGTAACCTTCTTTGAAATAACTCCTCGTAATCTGGGGTACAAGCTAGAAGAACAAAAAAGACATTGGCTACCATCTCATTTAGACTCAGCTTTCTCTTCTAACTTATCAAAGCAAATCATCAACAGTTTTTGTGATCTGTTTTATCTGTGTATTAAAGGGAGGTCTAAAGCAAAAACAAAACAGATGTTTTTGTTTCTACAGGTCAAATTTTAAACAGACAATGTGGATGTATTTAGCTCCTGAGTTTGATCTACTCTTTATGCACTAAGTACAGGATGTTCCTCCATTCTACAATGACTTGATCATTGCAAAAAATAATCTACCATCTGGGGCTAAACTGAAACTGTTTTCTGGTTAAAGTGAACGATGAGAAGTTAATTTTACCCACACTTGGTCAACATGAACTATTATAATAATAGTGTGCTGTGAAGACAAGCTCTGCAATAGCAACAAAAGTGGAGAGAGGGAGGGAGGCTGCAGTCGAAACCCAGAAATAGCCTGGACGCTGTCAGATTAGTTTAGTTTAGGAGAATCCAGAGAGTGTCTGTCTCATTGTATAAGTAACATATTGTAACATTCCTCTCTGTATGGCGCTCACTGTGATGCTTCTTCAGGTAAGGATCTGTGTGCTCTCATAAACACAAGTATAAAAGGGTTAGTGGCTTCTTGCCCAGGTGCCAAGAGATTGGTTGCAACTAGCTTAGCGGAGAGAAATGAGGAAGAGTCTTGGTGCTTGTAAAGCAAGATCATAACTGACTGTTAAGCAAGGTGTGGAACAAGGGATTAGAGAAAGTATAGAAGGAAAATGCTTAATAAAAAAGCAAAAATGAAATTATGCTACTGATTTTCAATTTTGAGCTAGAAAAGCCTTGATATATTTCTAAAATGAGGATTATGAGCCATACTCACTATTACTGCTTCCATTAAGCAACTGCTAACATACACAAGTTGCATTTGTCCAAGCACACATTGGCTCACCACTCAACCTGCGTGCAACAGCACCACTTCCCACACAGCACTACCTGCGCAAGCAAACCTTACCAGCAGTCTTAACAGCCAGACTGGTGCTTACTGGAAATAGATGCCAAATGTATCTCCATAGAGGCCAAGAATTATGGGCCTACCCACCCCCCCAGAAGGGGAAATGAGTGCATTAGAAGCTCTCAAATCCATCCTCTATCTTGAGGGATAATATCATAGCACAGTGCATGAGCAGATGTGTTTCATGCTGTCCAGATCAATTATTTCAAGCTCTTTCAGTTCTCACCTCAGACACAGGGGCAGTGGGGAAGGTGGTTCTAAGATAATGGAAACGCGCTGCCCGAATGGCATTGAACCAGTCAACAATTTCCTAAGGAAGATAGCAAATATAACTGTAAAGACAGGAATAATGCAACAGGTTAAAAGCACTGTCTTCTCCTCAAAGTATCTTCAGACTCTTTGCCAACTTGTCTTGTATCTCCTAACACTGCGATGTAGAACCTAAGGGGAAATGAAGGTAAGCAACCTGCCCAGGATCACACAGTGATCGCTGGTAGAGCTAAGAACAGAACAAGGGAGTCTTGCCATATACTACTTCACTGTAACCCTTAGACAAGTTATAGATCCACCGTTTCTCAGTTACTACAAAAGCAACATTGCATTTACCTTTCCACTCTCATGATAGACGAAAAGGTTCCTTGTCCGACCACCCTCATTGTATGTGATCTGCAGCCCATGGGAGTTTGGGATTTTCTCCGTCTGGAACATTGCATTCAGATCTTTAATGCTAATCACAGCTTTTGGACCTTTTGACTGTGGGTGAGAAAATATTCATGTGTTAACAGTGACTTTGTGGAAAGCAGTCAAGGACTGCTAACCAACTAGCAGTTCCTCAGTGAGCTAAAAACCAGCTTCCTCAAACAACAAAGTTGGCAAAGACTAAATCTTTGTTACTCGTTTCGCACGTCCATCACATTTCATTCTAAAGAAAGACTTTTTTTCCTTGACAAATGATACTGCATAGTTTCTTCAGAAGAAAGGGCTTGGTTAGCTAGTCCTGTCCATGTCTCAGGTGCCGGTCTTTTTATCGCTTCATTAACTGCAGCTCTCTCCAGTATGATTTCCCGAGAGAGCCATGAACTGTAGTTTTGCACAGAAGGGAGATGTGGTTTATGCAAGAAGGCGAGCAGTGGGTGCTTCATGAGATTAGTGCTGGTAAAACAGGAAGCGACTCCTGCCAACTTAACTCTTTTCCCTCTTCCTGTCCATCAAATATGAGGGTGGAAGGCTGGTGGGCATAGCAACAAAATCTAAGAGACAGCAAACTGTCCAGCAAGTTGTGTGCGTGTGGGCCAGGAACTCAACTACAAGACCAGACTTTGACCAGTTTATGCCTGGGGAACTCACCTCTTTGGTGTAGTATTTCAGTACCCCATCTCTTGCTGACAGGATGAATTGCCTTGGGAGGAATTGCTTGCTATCCCGCCCACGCTTCCACAGAAATCCTTCACGGCTGCCTGAAATGGAAGCTAGACACCTCAGTTTCAGTGAAACCACATACTTGCTGAAGAGGAAATGTGACTTTGTTTCTAGTCTTATTTCCATCTCTGGTTTTCTGTTTTAAAGAACACTATTGAGCAGTGGAGGGAGAAAAATGTACCTCCAGCTCATGCATCTGGGTCCTCATACTGGAGCTCAGAGGGGCAAATGCCCGGTTTATTAGCCCAAGGGACAATCTGAGCTTCTCCATGTGCAATGTATCATACACCTGTAAATGAGGTTCTCCAGGTAAACATATACTGGCTGCACATCCTGACAGAGCATGTAAGAGGAAAGTTTCTCAGCCAGGTGAAAATAAAGCCACCCCAGCCACTAGCTGAACACCACTAACTAGAGGTTCTCAGTCTGCTGTAGCTTTGGCTTCACAAGGCTAACAGCCCTCCATAGACAAACAAGGACTTTTACCTGAGGTACATGCGTCGTGGCTGATGCTTGTGGCAATGAATTCTTTCCGCTCATACTTAGCTCTGATCCATTGTTCTCTTAAAACCCTGAAAAAAGAAAAACATGGATTAGCTCAATCTACATCCATCTCTGATTGCTGCCCCTACCCCTTTCCAGCTGCATATGGAAACAGGCTAACCGACACCACTCAGCACATCCAAAATACCTGTATTTTCTCATATACAACATACAACTTAAAAAAAAAAAAATGTTGCTAGAAATTGCAGTTTGCACTGTGAGGAAAGAAAAAAGGTAACAATGTTTCTATCGGTTAAGACTGCTGGACAAAAGCAAAACTAACTGCACAGCATCCTCAGGGAGCAGAACAAGCAGGTTTAGCTCTCTAACTGTTGCTACTCAGTACAAAGAAAAATCTATTTTTTTCCATTCTGCCTTTCAAAAACTAGGTATTTTATTCTCTGACATGTTGCATGCAAGAAAATATGGTACTAATGGCGACACAGGCAGAGAGAAGCAGAAATACAAAAGCTTGTGATGGTCTGCAGCCCTCAAGTCAGCAACTTACAGGCAGTCTTTAGACTGGGGAACATAATAGAAAGGAGGGACTTCTGCCTCATAGATAGCCTTTGCACAGAGATTCCCATGCTTCTTCATAAACTGCAAAACAAAAGAAGTTCCTCAATTGGGGGACTGACAACCAGAAAAATAAGTATTGTTTCATAAACATACCATGAAACAAGGGACAAAGGCAGCAGCATATTTCTTTTGCTCAGGCTTCTGCGCGCACATGCAGGTATGAATGCATTGCTTGTTGTGCTTGTGTTTGACCCTTCTTCTTCCCTGTGTTCTAACAGGAAATATTATCCTTCTTTATGGCCTCTGCCCCCAGCTGCAGACTGGGGATAACATACATACACATCTTGGTGGGAAGATAGGCAGACAAGGTTCCTTGGGTGAATCTTGGTGGGAAGATGTGAGGTTTAATTTGTGTTAAAAAAGAGATTGGGAGTCTCCAGGAAAAGACCCTATAAACGTGAAAGGCTTATAAGCATTGCGTGCTTATAAAGCACAATGTGCACCTACCTAGGTGCTCTATAAATATAACATCATAGTAATATGGAGGATAAGCACTTTTTAGCATGTGCTAATTGAGCAGGTATCACTAGGGGTTAGAGACATCACTAGAGACGCCAGAGATTAATGTTATTCCGTATGTTTTTTATTGACCTGACAAAATGTCATGATCAGGAGACAGAAAAACAACATGCCGAAATGCAGCAGAGAGAACTTGAATTCTTGCTTCCCCATCTGTACCTCTACAAGATCATGCTCCCAGAAGTCAAGCCGGAGGGATTTGACCCTGCTGATTTCAGGAAGGTTGCGATGAATCCCAGAGCAATTCAAACAGATGAATACTCCGAGTTTGTAAGAGGCCCATTCAGGATCTAAAAAAAATAAAAATAAGGACGGTTGTAGCACCGCTCAGCGCCTAGCAATGCGCCGGCAAAGGAATAACGAACGGTCTCTGAGATTCACGTCCAAAATAAAACCACGTTCACGATGCAGTCGCTGGAGTCAAATCCAGACCCAGCCCATGTGGAAGCGACTCTGCTGCCGTCACGACCCATTCGTCTGTTGGTCCTTCCACCAAACACTTGTTCAAAAACATAAATGTGGCTGACGTGATAGACAGAAGCCTGTCTGTCCAGGCCAGCCAGTGACTTGGAAACAACCCAACGACGGACCTAACCGGTGCGATGTCTATTGGGCTTCGGCGTCACTACAATCCTAACAGCCCAATGCTGAGGGAGGTAGCAATTCGGCCTTTGGGGTGACATCGGCTACGGCAATGGCGACTCGGAGGCTTCGCAGCGTCGATGATCCTGGCCGGGCGTGAGACCAAGTGAAACCGTGGCACTAACTATCTCCGCTTCTTCCGGCTGCAGAACGGAGACCACAGGATCCTCCCCTGCTCTGGTCATGGGGGTGACGTCTCCCTCCCGCTCCTTCTCTCCAAGGGGTCTCCCCCACACGCGGCCCCTCGGGCACGGCTCTCCCTCCCCCCCAGCGGCCTCCAGCGGAGCGGGTGCCACAGCTGCCCCCCCCGCAGGCACCTCAGGCGAGAGGCCGGGCCGGGCTCACCTGGCGCCCCGCAGTCGGCGCAGCGGGTGTTG